GCCAAGGTTTCGAAGATCAGGTGGGCCGGACACAGGTCATGCGTTTCGAGGACGACCGCTGGACCAGAGCAAGTCACCGACTGGATTCCACGGGATGTCAAGCGAACGCCTGGAAGACCGCCTACGCGATGGTCAGATTTCTTCGTGAAAGCTCTGAACGAATGGTATGAAGTTCATCGTGTCCCTCGAGCTGAAAGAGTTCATTGGGCAACTCTTGCACGTTGCAGGGACGAATGGAGACGTTACTGGCGCCCGCTCGAGGAACTCGATGATCAACGGGAGCACAGGTGATACAGGTGATACCCATGCTGAAAGAGGCGCTTTGTTCAAAGTTCACCGAGAAAGTGTAGGGGAAGGGCGATACTTGAAAGCTGAATTGATTTTAAGGATAATTGCTTTGTCCGTGTGAAGAGGGCTGGTTCTTCGTTATATTTCCTAAGAGGGACAGGGCTAATTGTATCGACCGACTTTGCCGGCCTTCGCTCATATTCTTGATTCCCTAGCCTGCTCAGGAGGCGTCTTAGGAATTTTTGCCCTCACCAGGAAGGTCGTTCAGGATGTGCCCCGCTTTTTCGAAGCGGTTTATTGCACTTTGGAGGGCCTTGCCCATGAACCATAAATGTGGGCTTCGTTTTGGCCGGGCGGCTCCAGAAACGCCAAAAAAGGAGCGAGAGGTACGTCTATGTACCCCTATATGAAGAACATTAAGCGCCATTCTGGCGCCAAATTGCGTCGACGTCGAAAATAAGTGTCAAAATCGTAATCAGGACCATCGATTACCCTTATGGACGAACTTCCAGCCAAAAATTTTTTTTCGATTTTTTGGGTTTTGGTGGACCATTTGGTCGGCAGTGGTGACCGGAGTATCCCATCTTCGTAAAGACGATGATGGAACGACGACGTAGCAGGCCGCCGGGCAGGACAGCAAACCTGGTGGAATGCCTCCCTTTCCTTCCTCTTTGCATGAATTTCATCGGCATTGTTACTTTTATCTTTGGATATTAATAAAATAGGGGTCCCTATGGCGAGGCACTGTAGACTTCTATAGAAAGACTGTCGGGCACAACCCAACGCACACACCCAAAAGTCGAAAAATTTTTTTGGCCGAAAGATTGTTTACAGGGTATCGATGGCCCCTATCATGATTTTCACCACTTATTTTCGGCGCCGGACGTAAATGGCGCCTGGGTAGCGCTACACATTCCCCTTACTTTGTTGTAGGCGACGGCATTCATTGGGAGAAACATGTCACTCCATATTAGCGATAAATGGCACCATAACTATAAGGAGTTTCATATTGGTGATTCGGGCATGGTCTGACCTATAAAGATCACCTTCAACTACGGTCTTGCTTGATGGTATGTAAAAGCTGAAATAATTGAATTGCACCGATTCATGGGGTCTCCCCATTGAAAATGTGCCCATTGGCAGTTATCGAACTCATAGTCGCACGCAACGTTCAGACATATTTGAACGGCGAAAACAGGCAAAAAACATAAGCAAAATGCGAAAAACGACCGCACGCCGAGGGGGGCTAACCATCACGCCCAACTCAATTTTAAGTGCGCTTGAGAATCCTTAACCTATACCACTAGGCATTCGATCGTCTGTTTGCTGAACATTCCTCGAGTCGTTAATAGAAACCGATTTCCTATGAAGCCGTTCAGCTTGATTACGTGCCACAAGTAAGAACCCGAATATCCGACTACTTTTTCTTTTCAAATTCCGATAGTACTTTACTAGGGTCACGCTTCATTCAGCAACGTCAAAGTTCCAAGCGGTTTACAACTCGTAGAGGCTCACAAACGATCAGATTCCATAGGTTTCATTTTGGCTCCTTTTTTGGCATTACAGGGGCCGCTCATTCCATAACGAGAGCTCATTTTTATGGTTCATCGGGCAAGGCTATAAGTGCAATAAACGCGTTCCGCAAAAAAGCGAGCACGCCTGAACGACCTCCCCTTGCACACGTCGCAGCAACGGTTCGGGCGCAACGCTCGCGCCCATTGTGTGCGGATGCTTACGGTTTGCGAGGGCTGTGTAAATGTTAGTTCGTGTCACATCCATCTGAAGCATGATCCTTTCGTAAATCCTGAAAGTGTTTCTCACCCTCATTTCTCGGGCGGGCACACAGACAATGTGCGGTTTATATATAGAGAAGTAATCATGGTTAGAAATGACTCCTAACAGATGTCGAAGGAGGGACAACATGGAGATTACTCCTAACAGATTTATTTAGAAAAATCTGCGAAAATTACGAAAAAACACCAGTGATGTTGTCCCATCGTGTACTTCCTTTTTTGTCACGACCAAGAATGTTTCAGATCCCACCGAACTGCAACTTGAAGATTTTCAACAATGCTGAATTCGCAGCTCAGCTTGCTGAATCAGTGGAAAAGGGTTATGAAGCGGTGTACGCTTTGACTCGCCTTTGCACTATACGAATATCGTTCGTCAAAGGATGGGGAGCTGATTATCGGAGACAAACGGTAAACTCATACTTTTGCTCTTCGTTGTGGATAATTATGTACCGCAATCGTTGGACATGGTTCTTGATGAAGAGCTTCTCTACTTCAACAGCGTTAGAAATGGATAGTTCTTCATTTCAGATTGATGCTACTCCGTGCTGGATCGAGGCCCATCTCAATGGACCGTTATTGTGGATTGATAGAGTGTTGCGTAGTATGGGTGCACCAATGATGGCACACTCCTCATTCACCTGACTTCGTGTTAGATTTACTGGCAGTATAGAACGTTCTTCTTTGTTTCGTTTCGTCATCTATTTCACAATTACCGATTCGTTTCTGTCCATAAATTACTGAATTTCGTAACGTTCTGAAGAGGGATTATCTAGTTTGACTTTTCAGTCAACGTTTTCCGGTCTTCTACGCTGTCATACCAACTGCCATATGTTTTTGGCGATGCCGGTTCACATCCTTTCCAATTCTTGTCAACTCTTGGACTATTCATTCAGTATTGTACATTTTTCATAAAGTTAACAGCATTGTAACTCACATATTTTTCACATGTTCACAATTATGTGTCGATGACTGCATGTTTTACCTACAATATCGCTAATCTGTGTGTAAGAGCGTAAATATTATTTATTTACTGTGTACTGGTAGTATTATGGTTTAGCTGATCTACGATCGGTTTGAGCTATAGCTTACTTAGAGGTCAATCAACGCCTCAATTGAAAATAATGTCGACCCCCTTACCTCTACCTGCAGAGATGGAAACGAGTATCAGGCATCTAGCTTGAATCGCATTCAGACTTCGCGATACACGCTCGAGCGACTCGACCGCGCGATACAAACGATCGGATGACAAAGTCGCTGAATGTGTTCTTACTCACATCAATCGGGAATTAGTCATCAGCCAAAAAGCGGAGATGATCCTGAAGACAGTCGAGTTGCATAGCCACCGTCATTCCTGTTGGGCTACTACGCGTGGAGTGCGTTCATACTTCGCGACTGGATGACCGCATTCCTACTGGGGCCGCTCACATAGTTCGCGACACTAAAGAATGTGCGCAAAGGAAAGTATAAGCATCGATCTTTCGAAGTGGGAGAATACGAGAATTGGGGGGGAGGACACACGAATTCGGAGGAGTTCCCCTTATGAGTAGATAGAATTGATCCAATTCTTCTATTATTCCACTGTCCCAGTTCGTCATATCGGCCTGTATATTTGTCCCTGCCGCGTGTCCTTCTCCTATTCCCCTTCCATTCTTTCATTTCTCACTGCGAGGGTCCATGGGTATTTTCTCGAGGCATCTACCAGTCCAGTAGTTGAAGGGAGAAGGTAAAGGAGGAGGGATCAGAGAAAGGAAGGAAGGAAAAGAAAAGGAAAAAGGAAAGAGAAGGCTTCTCGGTTGACAAGTGCCCTGAGACGAGATCGGAACAATTTGGCCATCGCTTTATAATCATTTTGAAAAATACGACCCCCTAACCTAATTCCATCCTTAAATACGACCCCCTCCTCCCCATGCCACCCACCCATTTCTTAGATTTTCCCAACTTCCTACCATTTTTTCCCGAAAAATTTAAAAATTTCCAGTTCTTCAGCCAAGAGTTTTCCGTCGAGCGGGGTGGGGGGTGGGTATATATCCAATGTACAAAATGTGAAACGGGAAGATTTTTCAGATATTCCCTAACCTTTTGACAGTTTTTCCGAGATTTCCCAAAAAAATTTCTGGTTTTTATTTCGCTGCCGAGGGAGGGAGGGATTCGTCAGGACTTACCTATCATTTTCAACTATCGGATAGTAGTTGTATAGATCTTTGGCAGTCCCTCTCCCAACAACGTCCGTGAAAAAAGGGAAATCAACTATCAAAAAAATTTTTTTCTTAGACCAATATACGACCCCCCTACCTCGCGGTCAAATACGACTCCCCTTTTGTGATCATCACAACGATGGCGTGCCCTGGATAGAAGACAGTGGCTGCCAAAGCACTGAAAAGAGCAAGAAACGTGGCGGGCCAGGATATAGGATTTTTAAAAGGGAGGGGTCACTGGGGTGAATGAGCCACTCATCACTTCGGAAAAAATTGGAATGTGTGAGGTCACAACGACCATGGAATGCCATGCAGCGAGGGAGTACAGATGTGAACAGATGATGGACACGTTCAAAGGGATCAAGCTCAAGTTGTCCGTAAACCCTCAGGTGGAAGCCCTCGATTGAACCTCTCAAGTCATCGAGCCCTTCTTTGAAGAACAAGCTAATGAAGCGTTCTCTGTTCTAGATAAGTAGGAGACATACTTTACTTGCCACGCAAATATTGCATGAAGTGGGTATGGGGAAAAATTTAGCAGTATAACACTAGATTCCGTTCATTTTTACTTTGGAAGAAAGGAGGTCCAGTCAGGATTCTACCTTTTATTAATCCTTGGGTAACGATTGGGGACAAGCGCGGGATGTTATAGCCCAGTTTGTCTGCGTCTCCGATGTTTCCGCTGTCGTCAGTGATGCTCGCCAAACAAAGCAAGCAATGACTCGTCGGCGCGGCCACAGCCGTCGCCGCGGGTGGCGCTCGAATTCCACGCTCTGCTGCAGAATTCTCACAACTCTTTCAACGATTCTCTCTAAAAGGAATAACTTTCTCGTGTTTTCTGTGTTGAAAGAGAGTGCTTCGCCACAGATCGCAGATTAACTTCTATTTGACCCGAAAATTGTGGACTCGTTAGTTAACTCGTATTACAAAAGGGCAGATTCCCGCTTTATAAATGCTTTCTCGTTTCTTACTAAGTACGAAGTAGATGGTAGAAACTCCTTCATTAGAATTCCTATTCTTTGCTCAACCTACCGATGCCTGTTCTTTTTTGGAAGACATCCCTTTCATTCATGGCAAGTCAATCAATCGGACCTCTTCATGGTTCGATTCTCCTGACGGCCATCAACTCTCGAATGATTTCGATTTTCGATCTCGCTTGATTCGACGTGGAGTTTGTACAGGGTTTCCAAGAAGAACTGGATAATCCCAGTGGTTTAATTCAAAGAGCAGTTCAAAAACTTTGCCCTGTTGATTTCTTCTTGGAACGGGGGAGGGTGAAGAAGTCTTTTGTACCCTCCGCCCAACCACATTTCTAATCATAGAATCGCTGAACTATTAAGGACCATTCGTAGTTCTTTCTCTTGACACTTTCTCGCACATTTCGGCGCTGGCCCTGGGCCATTGGTGTAACACTACGTCAGATTACGGTAACCGCTATTTTGCACACATGCTTTTTAAACACTTTCCACGTCAATTCCCCGTGTTTTTTTTTTGAGCAGCATATAGTGCTGAAATGCACGAGAACGATTGCGAGTCAGGGGATAACAATGCATGTTTTCTGGGAGGGAATACGCCCGACGTGGGTGAACCACTTCTTAGGCCGCGTTCATAGCTTGCGTTCGTGAAGAAATGCAGAAATGCGGAAAATGCAGAAGTGCGGAAAGTGCAGAAATGACGAAAAGCATTACATACGTATCGATTTGAAATGCAGAAATGCCGAAAGTGAAGAAATGCGGAATCTGCAGAAATGCCGAAAGTGAAGAAGTGCAGAATGTGCAGAAGTGCGGAATCTGCAGAAAAGCAATAGATACTTATCGACTTGAAGAAATGCAGAAATGCCGAAAGTGTGGAAAATCGATACGTATCGGTTGCTTTTCTGCACATTCCGCACTTTCGGCATTTCTGCATTTCTTCAAATCGATACGTATGTAATGCTTTTCGTCATTTCTGCACTTTCCGCACTTCTGCATTTTCCGCATTTCTGCATTTCTTCACGAACGCAAGCTATGAACGCGGCCTTATCCCTTGAGACGAAGTAGACTGTCATTTGAACATGGCATAGAATAGGTTATTCGGGAGGATTTCAGTCTGAGATAACTGTCATCTTGTTCTGTGTTGGGCAGAGACCGCAATCGTGTCAAAATGAAAATATCTCTCCAAAAGCACAACCACCGCCACGTTTAGTTGAAGTGCGCCGCCACGCCTACCACATCTCAGAGTAGTTTTCGGGGGAAAAGCCCTCTTGGTCATCTAAAAACGAAGGAAACCTGTCACAGAAGAAAGACAAAAAAAGCGTGTGCTCTAGAATAACGATTAAGGAATGGAGATCTTCGCTTATTTGTAAGAAATTGTCAGACAAACCTTTAGTGCAAGATTATGAGAGGAGCCCAGATCTATTAATACAAATTGAAAGTGTAAAAGAGCGTTCAACTGGTGCAGTCAGTGGGAAACGGCAGCTCCCTTGCGAACTCTTTTGTCATCTTGAAAATGTCAAGAATTAACAAAAAAGCTCTTGCTCTTTAAACGTCATCGCGGATGTCCACGAGTGTAATTTTAAAATGCTTACTACACCTACGCTGTGGCCAGGAGCAGTGCAGTATGGGATGCTGGGGTGTTGCATGTGTTCTTGTCATTTCATTGATTGTTTCGAGTAGATCAGAGCTCTATGAGCCATCATTGTTGTTGATTTGCTCGGTATTTTTCTGGACGATTTGATGATTTCACAGATAGGCTCATGCTCCGACCAACAACGTGAAATGCCGAATACACTACCGGGTGCTCTCCATCCGAGCAACCGAAACGCCATAGATTGGTGAGTAGCGAGAATTTAGCCTTCTATACCATCTACCGTATGCTTAGTTTGAAATTTGGGTCTTGACTGATTAGTCTTTTTGTGCTGTTTTATGGTTTCTAACTGGGATCATTAAATAATTATAACGAGATAACAGCGCGTTCATACTTCGCGATCGCGCGGTAGGATCGTTCGGCAGGTTCGCACGATCGCGATCTGGACGCGCTCTAAGGGCGTTCATACTTTGCACCTAGCGTTTTCAGCGTAGGAAAATACAGGTGTGCATCCAGCGTTTTAAGGGTAGGACAGCGTTTCAAGCGTCCAGTAGCTTTTGAGCGTGCGCCAGCTCTAGTGTCCCTCAGCGATTCTATAGCGACAAAAGTAGTATGTTCGATTATCGCTGAAGAAGCTAGCAGACGCCCAGAACGCTACTCGACGCTCAAGGCGCTCGAAGCGTTGTTGGACGCTCAAAACGCTCAGAACACTGACAAACGCTCACAAAGCTGCCACGAAGTACAAACGCATTCGAATAGCGCCTCATATCGGCGACT